TCAGAGTGTTTAGGGCTCAGGGTTCAGGGTTCAGGGTTCAGGGTTTACGGTTCAGGGTTTAGGGTTCAGGGTTACAGGTCTAGGGTGGACCTTTTTTCTCAGAACCAGTCGCGTCGTTCAAGCAGGAAGCTCCATCGCTCCATCCCGAGAGTCCCCACGCGTCTCATAGACTTTGGTCCCTGTTGGGGCACCTGTGTTAACCCCAAATCCCGCGACTACATCAACGGGCGCTTGTTTGTGTGTGTGGCTTGCGGCAAAGAAGTCTATGGTGCGTCTGTCAAGCTTAAGCCCCCCAGGCATACGCAGAAGCGCTGACTCCAATTGGGCTGCAGGGGCGCGAGCACCGAATCCTGAAACCTCCAAATCCGCCACACACAATCCCTAAAACCTGAAAAGCCTAAATGCCAAAGCCCTACACCCTCGCGGGCCTCGAAGCCCTAAGCCCTAAACCCTAAACCCTAAACCCCAAACCCTAAACCCTAAACACCCCAAACCCTAAACCCCCGCAACCAGGGGCCCGGCGCGGCACCAGGGGAGTGACCTGGCAGAACTCTCCGCTCGCCCTCCTAAACCCTCATCTGCGCCGGCCTGCGAAACACTTCGGGGAAGGCAGCGTTTAGGGCTCTAGGGGCTTGAGGGGTTTTAGTAGGGGCTTAAAGGGCTTTAGTAGGGGCTTTTGGGGCTTCAGGGGCTTTGGGGGCTGTAGGGGCTTTAGGGGCTTTAGGGGTTTTTTAGTAGGGCTTTCGGGGCTTCAGGGGCTTTGGGGGCTGTAGGGGTGCTTTAGGGGCTTTAGGGGCTTTGGGGGGCGTAAGGGCTTTCGGATTCTAGGGTTGCAGGGGCTCTACCAATCCTCCAAGTTTCCTGTGAATCCCTCAGCTCTCACGCCTCTGGCCCGTTTGGCGAGAGATCCTGAATGGGGATGCTTCGTGCCCATCTCCAGGTTGCTCTTAAGGAAGCTACCATGCTTGGAGGATCACGGGCACACAACGTAGAGTTGTAGGGCAAATATAGTTGTATTTGGTCGTTTGTCAGCACACTACGTATAACCACTCCAACTACTCATGAGCCTGAAAGTAATCGGGACATACAGGGTTTTAAAACTGAAGGTTTGGGGCTGTTGCATGGAAGCAGGATGCTCGGAGCTTCAGGACTGCGACTGAAGAAGTTGAGGGCAAGTACTTGGGCGGGGTGTGGTTCAGTGAAGGCGAACATGGACAACAGATGGTGGCTCGGAGGGGCATAAGAAAGTTCCAACCCAGGCCGAAACGCTGACAGCACCCTCAACCGCAAAGCCCTAAAGCTTGAACCCCCAAACACCCCTGAAACCCCAAGACCCCTACAACCCCTGAAGCCCTGAACCGCCAACCCAAAACCCCAAACGAAAAGCCAGCGTTGCTGAATGGAGGATCTGGGCTCCCTGGCCGGAAGATGGAACCGCCACGGATGCCATGGGCTGGCGAGTTCCTCGGCACTTCGCAGAGGGGAGGCCTGAAGAGAGCAAGCGTCTACTCCCACCCTCCAACCCTCTAACCCTCTGACCCTCTGACCCTCTAACTCTCTAACCCTCCAACCCTGCAACCCTGTAAGCCTCTAACCCTACAACCCCCTAACCCCCCCCAACCCCGCCCCAAAACCCCCCAAACCCTGTGGCATTTCCTGGGACCAATTGGGGGCCCGGCCGCCAAGCCAGGAGGATCCATTGGCGTCGTTCGCGCTGCGCCGTGATGCCCAGACCTTCTGGCAGCTTCCACGGTTTAGGGTTTAGGGTTTAGCGTTTAAGGCTGAAGGTTTAGGGTTTAGGGTTTGGGGTTTAGGTCCTTGTAACCCCCACGACAACGGCCAAAAAGGCGTTTGTTCACCTGCCCTCTCGACGCCACCCCCCCCCCCCCCAACTAAAAGCGAGTCCCTGAGGTCTCGGCCGGCGTCGCAACGCAGCGAAGCGGCTCAAGCTCGGAGCCCAAAAGGCCGCGGAGGCCGCGCATTCGGCCGCGTGAGGGTTTGCGTCTATAGGGCTCACCTTTAAAGCGGATGCATGAACACATACATGAATTTTGTTGTATCTATATACATACATAATGATCCAGGGCCGAAAACCGCCCGCCCCTCCTCACCCCCACCCCAAAGACTGAAACACCTATAATAGTTTCACAAAGAGTAGTTCTGCCTTCCTTCCTTCTTGCCTTCTCTCTCCTATCCCAAGAATGGTCTGCTTAACAACTGAAACACATTCCTTCTTCTTCTTCTTCTACACTATTCTCCCTCCTTACATCGTTTCTTCCATCCTTTTCTTCCTTCATGGCTTCTCTTCCCACTCAGCGTCTTGGAACTTACACAGCTTGTGCAAGGAGCTTCCCCTTGTACACCTCCCCACCCCAGAGACTAACGCTAACTGCTAACAAGCATCATCACATCATGAAGAAGAACTCTGGGGACTGCGCCTGCCTGGAGGTTCTTCGGCCGCTTCTTCCGCAGCGTTCGCACAGCCTCGGGGCCCACGACCTCGAAAATGTCCTGGGAGGTTTTTGGGGGAGTGGGGTTGATAGGGTTGAGGGCTCCGGGTTGAGGGCGTAGGGTTTAGATGGGACGGCCGCCAAAAAAAATGAGGATGGCACCTCAGGGATCGCACCGAACCCCAAAAACCCTTAAACCTCAAATCCCTTAAACACACTCCGAAATCCTCAAACCCTAAAATACTGACCCCCCCTATACCCTAGAACTCTAAACCCTACACCTGCAGACCCTGTAACTTTTGAAGCGTTTTCGGTGTAGGGTTGGTATCGCGCCTCCACAGACAGAGGTGCACTGAACAGCGAGGACCAGAACCTCAGACCGCTTTGAAAGAAGGGGGGGGGGGGGGGGGGGGGGGGGGGGGGGTTGGGGAGAGGAGTTAGGGGTTGGGGCTTAGGGTTTAGGGCTTGGGGAGATTAGGCTGAGGCGGCGAAGCTTTTGAGGGTCTTAAGGGCCTTAAGTTGTCATGTTCCCCCTTATACTACCAGCCCTTAGTAGGGCTTATGGTGCCCCCGATTATGATCCCCATTAAGGACTGCTAGTATAAGGGAGAACATGTTAAGTTCTAAGGGTCTTGGGGGGTGCTTGGGTTTCAAATGGTTTCAAGGGTCTTGAGGTTTGAAGTTTTTTGTTGCAGGCTTGTACATTGCCGACTCTGCCGCTCACCTGGCAAGCCAGACGAATGCCGCCATCCGAGGTTCTGTGTGAAAAAACCGGCATTATCATACGAGTCATCGTGTTTTACATTGCAATGGCAAAGAAGAACGGCAGCCGTCTCCATAAGCGTAAGTGTGCCAGCAAAAGCAGGCAACGGCAATAGTACCAAAACAGTAATGATGACAGTAAACAGCAACAGTACTGACAGCAATACCAATAGTAACAATCACAACAGTCACAGTTCTCACAACAAGAAGAACAGCAAAATAGATGATGACAACCATAACAACGAGAAATTCACAACAATCAAAATCCTAGTAGCAAGACCCTACACCCGCCCCCCCCCACCCCAACCTTAAAACCCCGAACCCCAAACCCTAAACCCTAAACCCTAAACCCTGAACCCTAAACCCTAAACTCAAGCTCCCGGTCCGAGATCTTCGGCGCATCCTCCGTCTCGCCGATCTCCTCGTCCACGAGGCGCCTGAGCGTTTACTGCAAGAACCTAAAATCTTTTGTAGGCTGTGGCTACTGCTGTTCCAGCATCAGGCGATTTTGCATATATGTACATATATACAGAGATACGTATGTATATATTTGTATACCATGTCACTACATACATATGAATCGACCTACGACGTGTACTGCATATCATGATTTTGCGACGGAGCTCTTAGGTAGCCTACCCTCAACAAGCATGCCGTGACGTATGTTCTTTTTCAGGAGGTCCTTCAACCCTTGGGGGCCCACAAGAAGAGTAGCAAGCGCGAAAGCAACAAGTGATAAGAACCTATGCCCCTGAGAGCCCCCTAAACCCTAAATCCTAAACCCTAAACCCCCTAAACCCTGAAACCTAAACCCTAAACCCTGAACCCTTCCCCCTAAACCCCCCCAGAACTTCCTAAACCCCTGAGGGCGGGACCGGACGCCATCAGCAAACAAAGCATGGCTGTCTGAGTTACCCATGGTGCTGGGCTACGAAGGTTGCTTCGGGCTGGGGGGGGGGTGGAGTCCTAAATAGAAGACTTGGCCCAAGTGCCACCAAAAGGCAAGGGGTACTTTATCTATGAACTTCTTCGTTCGCGACTTCGCGACTCGGAGGAGGGATTTATTCCGGTCAGCAGTGGCGCTAGACTTCAAGATCTTCGTGGGCTACGGGATGATGTGGGTGTCAAACAAGCACTGTACACGTCGGGTCAAAGCACTCACACGTGATGGGGAAGGGTTCGCGCGCGTGTGAGGCGGTGAATGCTTGAGAAGGCTTGGTGGTAGCCTTTGCAGCCAGCGGCGGGCGAGGAAAGAGGGTTTGGCCCTGCAGCACTCCCTAAACCCTAAACCCTAAACCCTAAACCCTCTAAAGCCGGGATCCCAGGATGTGGTCCCTTCTATGCCCACACCTATGTAAGAAGAACAACCCACCGACCCCTCCCTGCATCTACCCTGTTTTGGTCTAAGGCTGTAGAGTTTAGGGTTTAGGGTTCAGGGTTTAGGGTTTAGGGCTTAGGGTTTAGGGTTTAGGGTTTAAGGTTAGGGCTCAGGGTTTAGGGTTTAGGGTTTAGGGTTTTGGGCTTGCTCCTCTCCAAGCCCAAGCGAGTCCTTTCCCTACACTTACCCTGTTCTTGAGGGGAAGTAAGTGCCAGAGACCCCCCCGCATAAGTTTTGAAGGACCATACAGGGTACCTAGCTCCCAAATCCCTGACCAAGAACCCCTAAGTAAGTGGAGCATCTTACCACAAAACAGAAAACTGAGAGCCACAAGCATAAACGTGAGCCCTAAACCTCCTTGAAGCCCTGACCCCCACACGGAGGAGTGAGAGCCAGAAGCACTTTCTGTGTCAGCGCTTTCCCGATCCAGACGACTCGTCGTCTGAGGCCTCGCCGCTGCTGGTGAGGACTTTAGGGCTCTTAGAGCTTAATGGGTTTAAGGTTTAGGGTTTAGGTTTTTGGGTTAGGGTTTAGGGCTCTTGATGTTTCTCGGATTTTGAGGATCTACCGGGCATGTAGGGTGTGCGCGGCTTGCAGGGCTTGGGGTTTGCAAAGAAGGCAGTTATTTTCGTAAAGCGTGCACATCTCGAACTTCAGCCGAAGGTTTCGGGCTTAGGGCTTAGGGCTCAAGACTGCTTAGGTGGGGGGGGGGGGGGGCGAAACATGTCGGACCTTCTTGTTCGAATCTTGTGCGAAGCAATGCTTGCAACCTGCTTCGTGGGACATCTCTTGAAATTCAGTGGGGCTTCAGAAACTCAACGGACTCACCTCTCACCCCCGATCGTAGGAATCGTCTAGGCTTAGGGCTTCGGGATGTTTACTTATCGAACCCTGAACCCTAAACCCTACACCCTAACCCCCAAACCCTAAACCCGAAACCCAAACCCAAACCCTAAACCCTAAACCCTGAACCCTGAACCCTAAACCCGAAACCCTAAACCCTAAACCCTCGCTGCTCCCTCGAGCTAGGGCCCGTGCTGCTCGGCCAGCGGCTGCACGGAACGCCTTTCGCATGGCGGCTCGTGAGTTCTGCGCGAAGAATGAAGACTGCATTTTAGGGTCGAGGGTTTAGGGTTTAGGGGTTAGGGTTTGGGGTTTAGGGTTGAAGGTTTAGGGGTTCGGGTTTAGGGTTTAGGGTTATGCTTTGGTGTGAATCATCAGCCTTGCACCAGCGAACTTAAGATCTCGAAGCATGACTAGTTGGACGCGCCAAAGGGAGATTTGCGGATTAGGGTTTAGGGATGTCTAGGGCTTAGGGCCTATGGTTTCGGGTTTAGGGTCTAGTCAAAACCAATTCTAAGCCTATTGGGGGATATGAAGAGCGAGGCTTCCTGCAGCACACGGACAAGAACCCTATGCTTCCCCTTGTCAGAGAGAACCCATTTGTAGAAGCCAAAACCCTCCAAAAAACAACCGGCCCTGAACCCCAAGCAAGCTCTCAGGAGACCAAAAAACAGCAACCCTCAGCCCCTGAAGCGCGCTTGAAGGCCTGCAGCACGCGGAACTCGTTGTAGTGAGCCGCCCGCTTTGCCTGCATGGTGTGATGGCACTTCTTGGGGATGCTCATGACAATACGAGCATGTACATAGTAGAGACAAGCCTCGCAATCGTGGCAACAACGATAGTAATCATGAACTCACAACAACCGTTTTTATCGAATGTCAGGAATGATAACAGCAACAATGAGGATAACACGGCCAATAACAGTACCAATGGCAATAACGATAATGACACAGTAACCCTATCGTCAGGCTAGCTCACCGAAGGTTTCCCTCACAGTCCGCAACAGTCTGCGAAAGTGCTTGGACTTCCGCCGCGACCCGGAGTGCCAGCTCTGACTCCAAGAAGCCTCAGCGTTCCTGAGACCCGAGAAAGGATCGTTGCGTCCCACATCGCCCCAAACTGTTTCCTGACTCCGAGATAGCTGGCAAGGAAAAGCGGTAAAGCCTGATCTCAGCCTGCTGGTTCTTAGTAGTGAATGAAGGACTTAGGTAGAAAATTTCTGGTATTTATACATACATATATATATATACATATACATATAATAAATAATATACCTTTAAAATAATAGGGTACCTCATTCCCTCATTCCCCACGAAGAACCAGCAAACCAGCAAGTCAGGCTGCGAGTAGCCTCGACGAGCGTTAAACCCCTAAACCCTAAACCCTAAACCCCTAAGCCCTAAACCCTAAACCCTAAGCCCTAAACCCTAAACCCTAAACCCTAACCCTAAGCTCTAAGCCCTAAACAACCAAACCGACTCCACTCCAGCCTTGAAAGCTTCCGAGGAGGTTTTCGGGGTGCCTGCGCTCGGAGGCGGGGATTGCTCCGGAATCCGCTGAAGGGCTTTTAGGGTTTAGGGTTCCGGGTTCAGGGCTTAGGGTTTAGGGTTTAGCGTTTAGGGTTTAGGGTTTAGGGTTTAGGGTTTGGGGTTTGGGGTTTGGGGTTTGAGGTTTGGGGTTTAGGGTTTAGGGTTTAGGGTTTAGGGTTCAGGGTTTAGGGTTTAGGGTTTGGGGTTTGGGGTTTAGGGTTTAGGGTTTAGGGTTTAGGGCTTGGGGTTTGGGGTTTGGGGTTTGCGGGTCTGGGCTCTGTTCGAGCTTAGAGGGGTCTTCGAGGAAGCTTCGCGCGGCGCCTCCCTCCGTAAAGGCTACGGACCTCACGGACTTGGCCGGGCTGGCGGGCGCCGAGGGCCTTTTGAAGAGGAAGGAAAAGACAGGGCTTATCAGGGTTTATGGGTTTAGGGTTTTCGGATTTAGGGTTTTAGGGTTTTGGGGTTTTAGGGGTTTGGGCTCTTGACAGGGTTTAATCCGAGCATCTGTTTAATTCGTACCTCCACATTTAAAGGGATTTTTTCGTCAAAAACCGCGCCGGAAGACTACTTTCCATTACGGGGGTTTTCGTACGGGGAAACACCACCACATTTATAGAGTTTTTTCGGGGGGTTCAAAAAAATTCTCGCCGGGCTCCTTTTTTGGCTTGAAAGTAAAAGCGCTAAAGAAGCCGAAGCTTTGTTTCTCTAGAATCTGAGGCCCTTCAGAAAGCTAGGATTTCTTATGAGCTACCCCCTATGGGCTCTGCCCGGCAAAGACAGCATTAGATTTATAGAAACAAGGGACCACAATTATGGGAGGCCCTGGGGGGGGAGCCCTGGTCCTGTAGTTTTTAAAGTTTCCGAAGCTTAAAAGTAAAGCTTTAAACAAGCCGCAGATTTGTTTTTCTAGAATCTGAGGCCCTTCAGAAAGCTAGGATCTCTTTTGTGACTGCTTACTGGAGGAGAGAAGTTTTCATTCGTTCCTGAGCTACCCCCTATGGGCTCTGCCCTGCAAAGACAGCAATAAATTTATGAACAAAGGTCTATGGCTTAGGGTTTAGGTATGATCAACAAAGAGGAGATCGAAGAAGGCTATACCTTGAGCTCCTTCCTCAGAACCCCGAACCCCCCTACAAACCTCGCGAAGCAAGCGGGAAAACTGCACCTCGGCTCCGCGTCGGGTGCGGCCTCTTAGGGCACATAAGTCTGCTGAAGATTTTGGGGGGCTTTGTTCGGGTTTAAAGGTTCAGGTTTGGGTTCTCGGGCTCGGGTTTAGGGTTTAGGGTTTAGGGTTTACGGCTCAGGGTTTAGGGTTTCGGGTCCTTCGGAGTCTGGTGGCCTCTTTCTTCTTGGCAGCTACGTCAGGTTTCTCGAATGGAGCCCGCAAAAGAGGCCATCAGGCCCCCCCAGAGCATCCGACGTCGCAGAGGGTTTCGGGTTGAGGGCTTAGCGCTCAGGCCTCAAACTTCCAGGGCGACCTGTGCTCACACTGCAGCATCTTCCAGGTTTAGGGTTTAGGGTTTCGGGTTTAGGGTTTAGGGTTTAGGGTTTGGGCTGAACCCTAAACCCAGCTTCCTCCGCACTCTGCCTCACTACCCCGAAATCCAGAACCTCTACCACGAAGTCGCTGGCACCAACTTGCAAGCCCGAAGCCCTATGTAGGGCTATTTAGAGCTTCTGAAGGCAAATTCAGGTTTCGGATTTCGGGGTACCCCCCCCGCCCCACGCCTGGGCCTGAGCCTCCTCGAGGAGCTTGAGCCGCTTGGAAAGCCTTGGAGGGAGGGGTACTAGGGGGTTAATAGGGGGGGTAGTAGGGGGGGGGGAGGAGGTGGGTGGGGTGGGTAGGGGGTAGTTGGGGGGGGGGGGGGGGGGGGTAGGGCTAGGGTAGGGGTCGGGGGCGGCTAGAAGCAGGGTTAGCAGGTAGGGTTGTAAGGGTTTAGGGTTGAGAGGGTTGATAGGGTTGATAGGGTTGATAGGGTTGACCGTCTATCGTGTGCTTATAACCTTGTACGCGCCCATGAACCTCCAAGTTCAGTCAACAGACTCCAATCCCCTTTACGAAGATTCCGGGTAAGCCCCCCAAAATACAACTCTCAACCCCGAACCCAAGGAACTAAAATAACGGAACCCTGAAGCCAAAGAACCGAAAAATACTGACCCCCATTTTAGAACGACCACCCACCGCAGCTAAAGTGAATTTCTTGCGGGCGGCTGCAACCGCTGGTTAAAGGAACATTCTTGGAGGTGCATGGATACTTACAAGTGGGTTTAAAAGTACCACTACAAGTACCCTATATCAGGTTATCATGTCAACCCCATGAACCTCCAAGCATCTTCACGCCAAGCTCGAGCGCGTGCAACCCTCCTGTCGGAGCGTCCGTTGTGAGACCTACCTGTGTGCCCTTGCTGCATGCCATTCCTGGAGATCCTTGTGCGCAACAGCAGTTTTACCGCCGCCTTGCCCTGGGGGCAGACGCCACTCGCGTTCTGCCCTGCTTGCTGCCACAGCAGTAAGAGCAGAACACCGCGCAACAGCTGCAGCCGACTAGCAGACAGATCGACACCATGACGATCATAGTGTAAACACGGTCGAATGCTGCAAAGAGCAGTGGGGAGAGCCCCCAATACCAATACATAATGCACAGGAAGAGATTCTGGAGCGCAAGGTAAAACCGACTCAGGTTCATCAGGAATCTGCTGCCAAGCTTTAGTTGCATAGCTATCACGAAAGGATTCCACCAAATCATCACGCAGGCAAATATCCTGTACCACGGTTCACGGAAGGGCGACTCCTCTTGGAACAAAAGCGGAAGGACCCCATGGGCAACGTCCATGACCAACTGCGCGAAGACCCTCGCCAAGTCTTTGTGAAAACAGGGGCAGAGCTGGTACACCGCCGCCGCTCGTTGCTCCTGCTCCTGGAGAACTGCAGCGAGCTTGAACCCTGCGTCTGCTGCAATGATGTCATCAAAGTTGACCTCCGCAGCTTCAGCTTTCTTTCCGGAACATATGCAGTCGGTCAACTTGAGGAAGACTTGAATCGAAGCCAGCAGAAACAGCGCCATCCTTGTTGCGGCATCTTGCTTGCAGAAGTTGATGTAGATGCCACACTGCCCAGCTTCCATGAAGCAGACGATCAGAAAGTCGTCGAACTTATTGCCGCGGCTGGCATGTTGGGCCATGTATCTACGCAGACCACCCACACAAGCATATCCGGCCCAGACCACGGCCAGCAAATATGGCGCGCGGAAATGATGTTCATCGAAGAAGATTGCTGCCAGTATCCCCTCCACCAGGTCGATAATCAGAAAGATAAAGAGAAGTGTCGCTTGCATTGGCCAGAACCGATGTAGCTTGGTCTTGGGCCCAAACTGACCAACAGGAGGGGGTTCTCTTTGGTGCTGCCAAAACCAAAGAAAAACCAAAAAAGAGGCTTCAAAAAATCTTGGATGCATCATTCAAGGGGAGCGCCAGAGTCTCCTCAACTCAGAACCCTAAACCCTAATCCCTGAACCCTAAACCCTAAATCCTAACCCTAAACCCTCATTCCTAAACCCTAACCCTCATAACGCCAAGCGCCGGGCTCCTCGGCATTGACGGTACCGACAGTACCTGCTGGCGGCTGCGGAACCTTTTCCTGGCACCAGCGGAGGGGCTGGAGTAAGGGTTTAGGGCGGGTCGGGTTTAGGGTTAGGGTTTGGGGTTTATGTAGGGTGTAGGGTTGTGGTTTAAGGGAATTGTATAGGATTTGTGTCCGGAGTTTTGGGGGTTCCTGGAGCCTTCTTGGTCCTGGTGCCTTTTTGGGCCTGCGGCCTTTTGGTGGGGCCTTTTGGACCTCCCAAAGGGGTCTGTGGGGTCTGCTGGGGCCTTTTCGGTTGGGGCCTTCTGGGGTGGATTCTTGTACGAGCCGCTCGTAATGAAACGCATACAATTTCTAGTTATCCTGGCCTTGAGGGTTTAGGGTTTTGGGTTTTGGGTATAGGGGTTGCTCCATTGGCAGAAACAGCTGTGCCTACAGTTGCCCCAAGTCGTGCAGGGAGAGGGGGGGGAGGCCGACAGGGGCCCTTTGACCCTGCAACACTAGGAACCCTTTTCAGGCTCTCAAGGGATTGGCGCCCATCGAAATGAAAAAATTCTTCCCTCGACCCTAAACCCTAAAACCCTAAAACCCTAAAACCCTAAACCCCAAACCCCAAACCCCAAACCCAATTCCCTGTTCCGAACCTGCAAAAGCATAGAAGCGGAAGAAGAAAAACTTAGCGTGGCGCCTCGGCGGCTTCGTGGACCTCTGAGGAACTTATAACTCAGTGGTGCTGTACACTCCTTTAGATTGGACTTTGGAAACCCCCCACGAAAAATCTTCCAACAGCAAGCATAGTCATAGCAAGACAGAACAATAAGCGAAAGAAGAAGAGAATTCTCCTAATCATGGTAGTAGCAATAACAGCAAAAATAACATAGTAACACTAAATCGCAATATAGCAGCGCAAGCCATATGGTAATGTATGTGAGTGTGTGTGTGTGGGTGGAAACGACCAGGGCGCTCAGCCAGTAAGCCAGGCGGCCCCTCCGCCCCGAGGGCTCAAAGAACCCTCCGTAGGCACGCCCTCCCCACCCCCCCCCGCCACAACAAGAGGAAGCTACCAGCCAATCCCTATGACCCCTCATGGGTTACTAAGCAGGTTTTGTATAAACAAGGGACCCAAATTAAAGGGTCGTCTCCCACGCACACCACCCCATGCAACGCTAGCAAACACGAGGAACCGCGATGGACAGTGCCCAGACCTGCGGGCACCAGAACGAAGGGTAGAAATTAAACTAGTGAAAGAAAAATATAGTTGTACTTGAAATAGCCATAGTCAAAGTACTGGAAATAAGATTATGGCTAGTGATCGTCATAGTGCTGGTACTAGCAATAATCAGAATAGATCTAGAAATCAGACTGGCAATGGCAAATACAAATAGGATTGGTCATGGCAAAATAGAAAAATAGTAGTAACAGTAAAAATATCAATACGAATTCAATACGTCTCGTTCTAGCAATAGCAAATGCAAAGCATTAGTACTAGTACAAGTACCTGTACCATTTCCAGCCATAATAAGAACGATGATAATCACCAGGAGAATAATCAAGAACAACACAGGAAATGGTCACATGAACTATAGTAGCAACTGTAGCAACTGTGAATGCAACAGTAAAGGGCAACAGTAAAGGAAATAGTAATCGCCAGAAAACAATAAAATTGTCAACATAATATATCAGCATACGACTCAGAGCAACAACAACAACAACAACAACAACAACAACAACAACAACAACAACAACAACAACAACAACAACAACAACAACAACAACAACAAGAGGAATCGTAGTTGATGTCGTGCTGGCGAGAGCGCACCAAACAATGACACGAATGACAATAGCAATGCACATAGCAATAGCAGTCGCAATCGCAATATCCATAGAAGTAGTTCTAGCAGTAGTCATAGTCACAGTCACGATTCTTGAAAGTAGTGGCAATAGAAGTAATAATCGTCATCGTATTCGCAATATTTGTAGCAACCATAAGCATAATGATTGTAGATGTTTGAGCTGCAACAAGAATGTCTAGGACCTAGGCTTCTTACCCCGGTCTACAAAACAAGAACTCGAGCCCCAGATGTCTTCTCAAAGTTGAAAGACATACCGAGGGCTTGCGGAGCCAGCGGTCTAATCTTAGCTGAGGGTTGGGGATTCAAGGGCCCCCGGAGTGCATAAGCCGCCGAGGCCTTCAGCCCCCTGTGGTTGGAGCTGGGCTATAAATACGGAAGGGCCTCCTCCCTTCCCTCCCCACACCACATCCACACTGGAACGATACCAGTTTAGGGAATTTGGCTTGGGTTTGGGGTTTAGGGTTTGGAGTTGAGGGTTTAGGGGTTTGGGTTTGGAGTTTGGGGTTTAAAGTTTAGGGTTTGGGGTTTGGGGTTTGGGGTTTAGGGGCCGAAGGCCTCGTCTTCGGAGATCGACGCCGGGCTGTGCACGAATGGCGTCGGGGGCTCCTCGATCTTTTGCCTCCGCTGAGGGCTTCATTAGGGTTTAGGGTTTAGCGTTTAGGGTTTAGGGTTTAGGGTTTCCGGTTTTAGGGTATTAGGGTTACAAGCGACGAGGGACTGGAGCTTTCTATCCTTACGCGCTTTCGAGTAAAGATTTTAGGAGTTGGGGTGTAGGGTTTAGGGTTTAGGGTTTAGGGTTTAGGGTTTAGGGTTAGGGGTTTAGGGTTTAGGGTTTTAGGGTACTAGGGTACTAGGGTTTTAGAGTTTAGGGAACAGTGCCAGGGTTTATGGACTTATGGGCTTCTGGGCTTCTGGGCTTGTGGGTTTATGGGCTTGTGGATTTGTGAGTCTATGGGCTTATGGGTGTATGGGTTTATGGGTGTATGGGTTTAGGGGCTGACGGGTTTAGGAGTTCAGGGTCCGAAGCAGAGATGGATGTGCCTTTCTGGGGCTACCTGCTAGTGACCCTCGAATGTATGTTCAAAGCCTAGCACAGTAAACCCTGAAACCCTTCAACTCTGAGAGCCCACACCCTAGGCCCCAAGACCCTCAAACCCTCAAACCCTCAAACCCTCAAACCCTCAAACCCTCAAACCCTCAAACCCTCAAACGTTTAGGGTTTAGGGTTAGGGTTTAGGGTTTAGGGTGTAGGGTTTAGGGTTTAGGGGTTAGGGTTTAGGGTTTAGGGTTTAGGGTTTAGGGTTCAGGGTTTAGGGTTTAGGGTTTAGGGTTTAGGGTTTAGGGTTTAGGGTTTAGGGTTTAGGGTTTAGGGTTTAGGTTTCGGGTTTAGGGTTTAGGGTTTAGGCCTCAAACCCTCAAACCCTCAAACCCTGCCTGGTGCCCCTCTCTTTGTCGTGCTCTGCCAGGTTCTCCTGCCAGCCCCCACTGCCCATGCCCCAGCGATGTTTGAGGGTATAGGGTTTGGAGTTTAGGGTTTAGGGCTTAGGGTTTAGGGGTTTCGGGTTAACCCTTAAACCTCTGGGGCAGCAGCTAAGCTCAACAAGGGCCTCGTCCCAAGAGACGTGGCTCGTCGAGGTGCGAGGCCTTCGATGGTGCAAGGTCCCTAGCTCTGCTCAGGGCACTTGGGCGCATCAGAGAGTCGTTGGGGATGTGAAAGTGAAGGCCCTGAACCACTTAACACTTCGGCCACTAAGCCTCAGTTCTGTCTGCAGCACACAAACCGGCCTGGCAGAGTGCCCCCCCCACCCCCCATGCAGAGGAGTCCATGTCCGCCTCTTCCGAGCATTGAGGATGGTCTTCACTCGCTCGTCCGCCTCGCCTCTCTGGAAGGGCTGGGGCCCGGGTCTGTGCCGAAAGTTTGAGGATCCAGGGTTACGGGTGTAGGTTTCCCGGACAACCTAGACTTGCCCTACGCCCTAAACCCTAAACCCTGAACCCTGAACCCTGAAACCCTAAACCTGTCTCAAGGTTCGCTCTCACGGCGTCGATGCCTTCCTTGTTCTCCTCCTCAGCCTTCTCATCCCCCATGGGCCAGCACTGGCTGTGAGGGGTGGGGGTGGGCCCCTGCGCATGAGGTTCCAGACTTTCCTTAGGAACCTTAATGACTAGAATATATGTTTAATATTCCCGTGGGCTTTATACAAACGAAATGTAAAAACAATCCCAATGCTGTTTTTTGCATTCTTTGGGTTTTACATAAATGGAGATAGAGCATAATTCCTGGGGGGCTGTAGTGTTGCAAAGCAGCAGCTTTGAAAGCAGATGCCGGTGCAAGAGCGAGCAGCTTTTGCTGAGAGCTTGCGACGATGTCTCTTCTACCACAACCCCGGTGTTTCGCAAAGAGTGAGTGAATGAATGTAGTGAGATCACTTGCAACACCTAACTTTCTCAGCCGCCCAAGCACGGCACGGGCATCTTCGTGAAGCCAAAGCTGCATGGCTTGTCTTCTGACCAACTGTAGCCCTCTAGCCGTGCCGGTTGCGAATCTTTACAGCCGCTGTCAGCGGCTTCTGGCCTGAAACCCTGAGCCCTGACTGACCTCTGTCCACTCTCTCCATATACTTTCATCTGATGCTCACAAATCATATCGAGCCCGAGCACGCCCAGAGCCATCCGGGCCTCCTGGACCCCTAAACCCCCCCCTAAGCCCCTCAAACCCTAAGTTGCCTAAACTCCCGAAACCCCGAGCTCAAAACATTCATCCCTTCAACCCCTCAAACCCCCCAAAACGCGAAGCCGGAACCCTAAACCCTCCTTTAAACCCTCAACCTCCGAAACCCCTCCCTCCTTTAAACCCTCCTCTACTGAACCCCCTAAACCCCCGAAACCCCAAAGAGGCTTCAGGAGGCCTCTGGGGCCTAAGTCTCGAGTTCAAGCTCGGCCTTTTTCGATTCCACACACGTAGCACGAAAGCGATTCTGCAATCAGAGGCCGCCAAGGGTTGAGGGCTGAGGGTGTAGAGACTCGGGTCAACGTCGGGACTTCCGAAAATAGGGGTGCCCTTTTTGGGTGGGCAAGGAATAGTGCTCCGGGAGATGTTCAGGGCCTTCCAACCCTAGACCAGGCGTAACTAGTGGCAGTTTTCAGGGTACTTCGTCGATTGGTATGCAGGGGCACGGCCTCTGCGTGCTGCGGATGACGGAGTGAAACGAAACATGGAAACGTTACGCGGGACAGTGATCCTAAACCCAAGAGGACGGCTTCGGGTTTCGGGATGGTGGCCCTAAACCCTAAACCCTAAACCCTAAACCCACTCTTCTTTGGGGGGGGGCTTCCCAGCTTCCAGGAGCCCCTGGCAACTTTGAACATCCCCCTGAACTCTCCAGAACGCTGAGCTGAACATCTGCCCGAACTCGTAAAATGCCCCTCACTTCCCTCGGAGGAAGACCTGGTGTTAACCCAAAAAGCCTGGACCCTAGCCTTCAGCCCCAAGAGGCTCTTGGGGCTGAAGGCTAGGGTTTAGGCTTTTTTGGGTTTATGGACTAAGGTTTAGGGTCTAGGGCTTTAAGGTTGAGGGAGGGAAATGGTGGTTCAGGCTTGCAAGCCATGAGGCTGTGTCTGACAGCGTCTCTGATCATACTTGGGAGGTTCATAACTTGCCCTCGGAGGTCCGTGGGTACTTATAAGTGGGGTTATAGGCACCCCATGATGACTGGAACTACCCTACTCGTAACCTTACCTATTGCTACCCCTGAACCTCCAAGCAACCTTGCTATACAAGTGTAGTAGAATTCAAGTATACCCGGCACCAACGAAGTACATACAGCTATACTGGGATGATACGTGCCCATGAACCTCCAAGTAAGGACGTGGATCCCGGGGCCGCTTTCGGGGGTTGAAGGTTTGGGGTTTGGGGAGGCTTGAGGCTTTGACCCGCACACCTAGCTAAGGATGCAAGGAAGAATAGACAGGAGCTTTCAAAGAAAATACAAAATTAGAAAATATTTAAAAAACAAAGGAAGGGTGTCCGAAGACAGGGGGTGTCCGAACATATGTGTATACATATATCTATATATGTATAATGGGCACCCTGGCAAATACTTATATGCTTACCAAGCTTCATTCCTTCTTGACCACTGCAAGGACACAACAATCCACAGCAGCTGCAGCAACAAGGCGCGCGCGTCGTAGAAGAGAGCACCCCCCTAGTCGGATGGGGCAGCAGGTTTGGCAGAAGCAGGAAGGACTCTGCAAACATGCTTCAAGGAGGATTCGACAGCCGAGGTTTGCAAACACTGCATACCGCCTTATGTCCTGCGCTGCGCGCTGAGTTAAAGGAAGCTGATTTCTTAGCCATCCACTATAGCTGTGCTGCCTTGCCTTGCCTTGACTTTGCCTTCCCTTGCCTTGACCATCCCAACTTCGAACCTCTGCACAAGGATGCGGGCTGGGCCCAACCGGAAGGCCCCAACCGCTAGGCCCCAACCGCTAACCACCCCTTCAACCCGAATCCAAAAAAAACCTCCGCCCGCTGCCCGCCGGCATGAACCCTGCGCCGTACAGAGCCCCAGTTCAAGCCTGGCTCTTGGACTTATAATACTTCTCCACCTCCGGAATGGCCGCAATTTTCTCCTGGCCAGGCCAGAACGGTCGCTGGGAAGGCCAGGTTGCTCGTCTAGTGTCTGGGGGTTTGGGGGTTACCCTAAACCCTCAACCCCAAACCCTAAAGGGTTTGGGGTTTGTCCAAAGAACGGCCACCCGTGTTCAGCACTTGGAGGTAGTAGTCATAACAATGACAATGAAAATCATATACACACTATTAATATGATTTTAACCAAAAACTGTAGTCACAGCCACTTCACAGCCCAAATATGAACCTCTGAGTCCCCAAATGTGTCCAAACTTGGGCCTCCCTTGAGGTTCCGATTGGCCCACAGAGCCTCGTATTCAGGGTGCTCAGAAGGCGGGCCGAGACCAGATTCTGCGTAGGGCACCCACAAGGCCCTCCACTCCAGAGGGGGCACCTGAATCTCATGGGCCTCAACGGCACGCGAAGCACCCTAAAGCTGAACCCGGAACCCGAAACCCTGAACCCGAAACAACCCTAAACCCCGAAACCCCTAAACCCGTAACCCCAAACCCTAAACCCTGAACCCTGAACCCTAAACCCTGAACCCTCAACCCTAAACCCCAAACCCTGAGCCCTAAACCCTAATCACATCCTTGTGCTTCATGATGCTGGGGTAGCCCTTCAGGAGCTCGGGCCCCAGGCCTTCCTAGAGCGGCGCATGTCTCGCAGTTTGCAGGGTGTTTGGGGGGGCTTCGGGTTCAGGGTTTGGGGTTTAGGGTTTTTTCGGGTTTCAGGGTTTCAGGTTTTTTAGCGTTTAGGGTTTAGGGTTTGAAGGGCTTTGCGGGCTTTGAGGGCTTAGGGGCTTAGGGCTCAGGGTGTTTGCGGGCGGATCCTTACAACCCGGCTAGAACCGCAGGTAGTACCCAGATACAGCTGATAGCAACATGCATGGAAACTGAGGGTGGTGGATACCCAAACCTCAGGATGTACTCAGGAATAGTTCTCAAACTTTTTTGGTAATATGTCAGAAACTATCTAACGAGTTTTTGTAATCTTTTTTTAAAATGTAGGTATGAGTTGCGGCATGAATTCTGTTTACCTTTTGGGTGGGGATCCGGATCAGAGTCCGGACCCAAGGGATGTTTTTAACAATTTTAACATGTTTGGCAATATCTCAGAAACTTTCCAACAGATTTTCGTAATTTCTTTTTAATGTAGGTATGAATGATGGCATGAATTCTCTTTACCTTTTGTGGGGGGATCCGGATCAGAGTCCGGATCCAAAGGATTTTTAAAAAGGCTTAATGGAATGTCCTTTCTTAAAGGGGCACACTGGGCGCCCGAAAACCCTCACGTGGCGAGCTGGGCGCCCGCGCCAGGAAGCCGCTGCGCATGACGCAGAGAAAGGCTGGGCACCGGCTTTGCTTCATGGGTTCAGGGTTTAGGGTGGGTTCAGGGCCCTTAAGGTTTCGAGTCTGAGCGTTGGGCATAGCTATCTCTTGAGGGTGGATTGATGTGTAGGAAAAGGAGGAGGAGTACTTGAAGACTCTTGGGTACTTATAAGTTGGGCTAGAAGTACCCTAGAAAAGGTTTCAACCTACGACAACAACTACCCTCCTTATTTCCTTTCTGATACTTGCCCATGAACCTCCAAGTAGGTCCTTTGTCAGCACCCGACTCAGGTTTGCTGTGGTGCTTATGCTTTACGAAACAAACCTGCTCGGACAGCTGTGCCGCAAGCCCTGCAAATCTCCTGAGCTGGGGCCGCTGAGCCCATAAGACCACACCAGAGCGAGGCTTCGAAAGGTGCCCCGAGCCGAGGAATCCCAGGATGGCTGGGGGCCCTGGCAGTAGTACATCAGGTCGGCCACAGAAAGGCCAGCCTCCAGGGAAGCACAACATGAGCTTACGATTCATCGCGCAGCTTAAGCTCCGACTCCTCCCCTTCGGGGCTAAGAGCCGGCCACGGGGTGACGGCCCCAAAACCGGCCTGCGGCACCACGTAGCCGTTGGTGCTCCCCGCAAGGGTGCACTCGAAGATCTCCAGCCTCGGGGCCCCGGCCGCCGAGTGCATCCCTCCAGCCAAAACCCTACATCATCCCATATTTGGGGCTTAAGTTTAGGGTTTAGGGGCTTGTAGGTACATCACGGAGCCAATTGCAACAGGGCTCTCGTGCTGCACACTGTCACAACTCCCCCTCAACCCCAAGCCCTGGCCCCCAAACCCCACCTCCAAAACCCTAAACCCTAAACCCTAATACCTCCAAAACCCTAACGAAGGGTCTGGGGATCCGGCATAGCGGCCGCCTCACCACCTGGGGCAAAGAGCCGTTGCCTGGCCGCCTCCTGGAGTTGAAAAGGCGCACTCTCTCTGTGCGCGTGAGTGGGCGCTTCTCTCCAGTCTCTTGAGGGGGTTGAGGGCTTGGGGTTTACGGTTTGGGATTTAGGGCTTAGGGCATTGTCATTCTTGTGATTTTGAGCAATCAACTCATGGTCCGCTGCGTTCCGCTGCGTAGAC